TTTTCACTCAACAGAGTGTATTATGCAGTTTCATAGGTAACTAAAAGTCAATATCATTATTGCATGTAATTTTTTCTTCATTTTCATGTTTAAAATTGTCTATTCTTAAATTCAAGTGAAATAGATGTTATCATTTTTAATAGGTAAAAGTCAATATTATTGCAGAATAAATTTTATCATAATTTCTTATTTTTCTTTAACTAAGATAAAGTGCTTTTAGGATTGGAAGTTGAGCCATTGATACTAGTAATTTCATAAGTTTGTGGAAAAGCAAATTTAATTTCTGAAAAAAAATGTTTCAGGCTTATTTTTGTTGACTGTTCGCTTGCTGACTCTACTTTATGATACAATGCCCCCTACGTGGTACGTTGAACCTTTGATAATTTGATATATTACAAATATCTTGCACGTTCTTCTGTCATTTCTTTCTGTTTATTTTTAATATCAGATAAGCAAGAAATACAAAATAGGAATACTGTTCTGTAAAGCTGGTCAAAACACTGAGGAGGAGATGTATAACAATGGTAACTATACAAAAAAGTTTCATTATCTAGATATCTTTTTTTTTGCTTAAATATTCAATTTTCAGTATACGATAGTTACAGTATAAAACATGAAAGCAAGTTTCAAATTTAAAGAATTGTCAAAATGCAATTTCAATCTCTATTGAAGCATCACCATTAAAGTGTAAATGCATAAATATGGATTGTTTGTTATATTATCAAAAAATTTACTCTACTATACAGTACTAGTAATAATAATAAAAAAAGTATTTATATAGATAAAAGGAAGAAAAAAATAGAATTTAAATGTAAATAATCAATATTATGAAATCCATCAAGACTATAGAAAATGTAAGTTTAAATAAAGATAGAGACATTTCTTTAGTTCTTTCTTTATTGATATTTCACTAGGAAGTCCTACTCAGCATGGCTGATTTTTAGGGGAGTCCTCTCAAGTAAAAAAAAATCTTACAAAACCACAGAGAAATAAAACCAAAATATTGCAGTTTTTTTATACAAATACAGAACAAAAAACAATAAGAATCAACAATTCAAACTTTAGAGAATAACAGGCCTTAACTTGTATTTTAGATCAATGCATGTTTTGAAAATAAGGGCACTTATTTAATTGTTTTTGTTTATTTTTATTTTGAATGCAATGTATGATAATATGAATAAAATGGTAAATAAAAAAAAATAAAAAAAATAGAAATGGTTTGATTGCAAGATTCAGTATTTTATAAGTCAAATAAATACTATTGCAGACCTGCCAACTACTCCGATTTCGGTGGACTTACTCCGTTTTTTTTTAAGCAAAACTCCGCACTCCGATTTTGGATTGAAAATCTCTGCTTTTTATGAAATAAATTTTTTTGAAATAAATCATGCATTTCCGAATAATGCAATCCTATGATTTAAAAAGAACAAGACCAGTAAATTTCCATCACCATGTACTGATTTCGAAAAAATCCCCAATTATATTGGCCAATACGCTGTCAGAGTTGAGTTACACTCTGAACTGTAAAGGAAAAAGTAATTCGCGTTCCATGGTCTACTGATTTTGAAAAAACACCAAATTTCATTGGCCAAATCTCTGTCAGAGTTGCATTGCACTCTGAACTGTATAGCCTCCACGGTCTACTGATTTCGTAACAACAGTCTACCCTCTAATAAACCAAGAGTACCAAAATGGAGTCCGATGAGAGCGATGTAGGCCTAGGCAGTGCTCGAAAATTGAGTAGAGGTTTTGAGCTTCCTCCATAAAAGAAGCTAATACACATGAAAACATTCTGTGCACGTTATAGCGAGAATTATACTGTCATTTTGAAATCAAAACTAGGTAATGCATACACTCGTTCTGATCTGTGCGGTGTTGATTTTCTAGTCTTGCACAGTGGTATTGCCGATGTAAAGCATCATTGTGAGTCAGAACGTTCATATTTTATAATCTGATCACATTGGTACAATGTCTTTGAAAAAAAATTACCTTTTTTCGACGGAAATTTAACATAATCTGCTCGCATTGCCAAAACTCTGAAAAGGTTTTCAGACTTCTTGTATTTACTGAATTATTTTATTACTTACACATCATAAATATTGATGACTTTGTTAATACTGAATAACTACAATGAAATTTGTTAAACTAAATTTAAGTCACAATTTTTTTTTAAAGAATTTGGAAGTCCCGCATTTGAGGAGTTTCTTGATTGTTTAGGGACGAAGGTTCGGTTAAAGGACTTTGAAAAATTCAGGGCACAGCTGGACAACAAGTGTAAGTCGACATAAATCTATTCTGTATCACATCAAACTATTTAATTGAAGGGTAACACATTGACATTTTATAAATGTACAATTTTTTTTTACTTTACACAGTAGCAGAATCTTGTTTTTATTATTAATAATATTATACCATCAGGTTATTGCAAAGTTTCATCTTGCATTTTCAAACGTGAAATTAGAAAGGCTTGAATTGATTTAGCAACTATATTTTTTAAGTGTACAGTACTAGGCTACTTTCAAAATTCATGAAAATAGGAGTCAACTTATATTTTGTGTTTTATTAAATGTTTTAAGGTGAAACATTTGGCTAGTATGAGCTTACCAAGGCCTTGAGGATTGCTTTTGTACTAATATATTGTAAACATAATATTGTTCCTTTTGGCCAGTCAACTGTTACTATCTAAATCAACAAAACACATTTTCTCATTTAAATAATGCTTTCAAGAAAATTAAACCAAGTTATGTCACTACAATTAATGATTAATTATTTACAAAACAATATACCTTCCATGGAGGAAAAGAAAGCATACTGAGGATTGGTTATACAGAATTGCACATCAATACCTCTCCAAACCAAATGCAGACTATATGGATTATATAATAATATAGATATCCTTGACCGTGTAATAATAACAGCAATTTGGATCGTGAAAAAAAGATTATTTTGTAATAAGGTTTTATAGGTATTATACCATTAGGTTATATTTCAGGGGAAAAAAAATAGAGAAACAATAAATTTGGTCAATATATTATTTTTATCATTGTTTTATTGTGTTTTCAGGTGATTCTACAGGTACTCATTCCCTTTATGCCACATACCAAGACATTGAGATTATGTTCCACGTTTCAACTATGCTTCCATTTTCTAATAGCAATAAGCAGCAGGTGAGAGATATACGTTAATTGATTAATCTCATTAAAAGCTACACCGATCATTTAGTCTAATTGGTTCTTATTGGACTTGCTAATTCTCTAAAAAAAATATACACGAGAATCCAGTTCTCATTAAAAATATTTTAATCAGTTATGATTGAGTGACTATTAATTTTGTAATTAATTTTAGTAACTATTTTAATTAGTAACAATAAATGATGAAGGTTCTATCTTCTTATTGGGGTCCTAATGTCTGTTGACAGTCATTTATTAATTGGTGCATCCAAGATCTCTTGGGTCAAAATAAATTCCTGTCTAATAAATAAGATGACTTCTTTTTTAATTATCAATAATTATTAATTTATTATCCAACCTATAATTATTACTAGTATGAAGAATTTATATTGATATGAAAATTATTTTCTCCAAATTTCACAGTTATTGCGAAAAAGGCACATAGGTAATGATATAGTCACAATCATTTTCCAAGAGCCGGGTGCGAAGCCGTTCACCCCAAAAACAATTCGTTCCCAGTTCCAGCATGTTTTCATTATTGTCCGTGCACATGAACCAACCACAGAAAACGTTCGATATTCGTAAGTAGATTAAATATCATGGGAATAGATGATAAATTCCCGTATTATTGTAATACAATTAAAATTGTGTAAAATGTAGAAGTACTTGATTGAGTGTTCAAATCCCATAGCACTATCCATGTAAAGAGAATTCGAAATCGAAGTTTAATATTTATAGATTTTATATATCATTGTATAGTTTATAATTATACTTTGTATATTGTAACATCCTCCGCTTACAAACATGCCAATTAAAAACTCTCCCTTTTTGTGAACACATATGTGGAAATGATGTCATTATGAACAATGTTTTGTAAATACCAATTAATTAATTTTTGCCACAATATCTTTGAAAGATGTTCCAGCCTCAATAAAAGGATTATGAATACTGAATCAGAGCAAAGCACATGGTTTAGGCAGCTATTCTAATCTA